TATAACACAAGCCTAATTAGAACAAAATTCTAGCCCAATTCAACCCAATTCCAATCCCAAATGAAATGCCCAAATGGAGCCTACCAACCAATTTCATTAAATTTGGCCATGTAACCATCCTAATGCCACAAAATTTCTTTCCAAAATGCTTCATGACACTCTCCTTGATCAATTTGATCCTTTGATTGACTTTAATCCAAGCCAAACCTCAAGCCCAAATCCCATTTTAAGATTAAAACCAAGCCTTTCCTTAACCATTTAATTTAATTTAACCCCAATTACCCCAGCTCATTCTAACCATGTGATCTAGCCATCTCAATCCTAGCTTACACCCACTTTTGGGCCATGGACAAAGGGTACCTTAAATCATGGAAACCCCTCCCCAAAATATGGTTAACTCTCTTATCCATGCCATCAACCATCAAACCCCAAGCCTAATCACAATTAAACTTCCGTTGATCTCCCTGAGTTAGTTAGCCACCATCCTTGCCTGATCGGCTGCTCTAGTGGCCGAAAAATCCAAAACCGAGAAGGCCACCCATGTCTTAAACCAAAAATTGAGCCCATCCCTTGTGGTTCCCTTGTATTGGACAATTACGTCGCTTGGCCCTCCACCTCAGCTTAATTGCACAAACCAATGAGAACCTGAGGCCTTCCCCTTGGCCAAAATTATAAATAGCACACTACGACCAAATTTGATCATCGTCCAAATCCTAGTGGAAATTCTGCCCAAATGCTTCCCGAGCTTCTCACACACCTCATAAGTGCAATCCAACTATCCTTTCACCCATTGCCACTGTCTAAGCTCAATTTCACCATCCAAATCTAGGACCTTTTCGGCCACTTCACCAAACCTCTCAAGGCTTCAAATTGCCAATTCCACAAGCTTTGCCAGACCTCAAAACCACTTCAAAAATCTAAAGCCCCCTCTCCTGAGCACCCTTACATAGTCTTAGAGCAAGCCCGAGCCACCCTTCGGTCGAAATCATACATAGACCGCACCTTAGCTCAAGGCAACACTTTGAGAAGCTTTGTGGACTCAAGGCGATCGTCTCCAACCAACCTAATCAAGGTCCGACCTCTTGGGCAAAGGTATTACTCGAAATCGCTAAATCTTACCCCGATTCCATTATTGTGAAGTGAACTTGTATTTCATATGTATTTGACCATTTAAAGAGGTTCGTCTCACTTAAATGAAGGTGTAAGAAAAAACCCCAAGCAATTTGGTTAAGAAATGAGTGAGATATTAGGCCTAGAACACGAATGGTTCTTGGGTTTGGATGATTCTTTTGTATCTTCTATTATCATTAAATTCAAATACCTTTTTAGAAATATGGTCTTATAATTCTATTTCTCGTTTTCTTTTTTTTTTTTTGTCCTAAGAATTCAATATATTTTTTTGTTGTTTCTATCTTCTTTTTAGATAATATTATTCCATTTTTAATGCATAATTTTAACACTTCCTCGACATGTTTTTAGTGCTCATGTAGATTATGTGATGTTACTAAAATATCATATATATATATATATATATATATATATATATATATACACACACACACACACACACACTAATACATAATCCAAATGTTCAACTATATTATCCATTTTTTTTGGAATATACTGAGTGTATTTTTTAATCTGAAAGACATAAATAACCATTCATAATGTCCTAAGGGCGTTGTGATAATCCAAATGTTCAACTATATTATCCATTTTTTTTTTGGAATATACTGAGTGTATTTTTTAGAAATATGCAGTGTATTTTTTAGAAATTGTCCTAAAGATGCAGTACATTTTGTAGAATCCTCATGTAACTTAATCTGCCAAAATCCTGATTTGCAATCAAATTTACTAAAAATATTTCTTATCTTGTATTAAATTTATTAACATATCTTTATCAGGTATTTTGCATCCATCATCTTCAGTATTATCATTTAATCTTTTATAATTTATAACCATTCTAGCTTTTCCTCTAAGAATTTCTGCATGGTTTCTTACCCTAAATGCGACTGATCTATGTTCTAATTTAGAGGCTCTAATTAATCCTAAAATTTTTAATTCTTTTATTTGAATTTTAAATTCTTCTTTTTCTAAAGGACTATATTCTATTTCTTTTGTTCTTATAATTAAATCTTTATTGATAATTGGTATATTAGCTAATTCTTTATTTCTTTCCCAATATTTTAAGGGATTTTCTCCTATTATTTGAATTTTTTCTGCTAATTGAAATATTTTTTCTAACGGTTTAGGTATTTGATAAGTTGATATTTTATCTTATTTGTAACAATAATTTAAATAGTTAGAAAGTTCAGTGTTCAAATCAAGTGTTAAGATTTTTGTTTTTGTTTTATTTATTTTTTCTCCACCATATTTTACAACATAACTCTGATGTTTATCAGTAGTTATAATTGAAGTTCATTTGCTAATTGTTAAGAAACTTTTTGAAATATTTATTTTTCCATCTAAACTTAATATAAAATTGAGTCCTAGAATAAATTCTTTTGTTTTGGCTTCATAAACTAGTATTTTTGGTAGACTATATTTTTCTGAAAAGTCTAACGATTCGTTATCAAGAAAAAATTGAATTTGGCTATTCATTAGAGATTTTTTAAATTGTAATTGTTGGTCTCGTACTTGTTGTGAGGTTGTATTTGTAGGATAATAATTTTTAAAATTATTAGGTAATAAGTTCTTAGTTATTACTGATGTAGTGCTTCCACTATCTATTATTGCTTGAACTATTATTTGAGATTTATCTTCTAAACTTATTAAGGCATTAACTACTATTAAAGAAGTTGGACGAAATGAGTAATTATTTGCTTCAGTTGTTTTTGTTTGTGTGACATCTATTTTATTTATTTCAGTATGTTCTTCTATGTCGTGAAGATCTGTATTTTTCTTCTTTTTCTGAAGTTAATAATTTTTGAGTATTTTCTTCTTTTTCTGAAGATTTATAGTTAACTTTAACTTTTTTATTTTCACTGCCATTTTTTGTCTTTCACTTTTATATTCTCTTTCTTTTTCTTCTAATTTTTCGAATTTAAAAAGTATTTTTTTGATATTAAGATTTATTTTTTCTAACTCAAAATCTAGTTTTTTTTATTTTTTTAGGCATATCAGTATAATCTTTTGGTTTTATGAAATCTCTATAATCTAACTTATGATTTTTCTTTAAACATAAATGGCATATTTCTATAAGACATAATTGACACCTATACCTATGATGTCTGTTTGGATAATAAATAATAAATACATTCTTTATTCATACTACCTTTTCCTAATTCAAATATATGATTACAAGATTCCATACGAAATTTAAAAATATTTCAAAAACTTTTATAGATAATAAATATTAACATAGTTCTTTGTATTGAATTATATGTTGCGGAATTTTCGTATTTCTCTACCTAATTGTTCAATATATGGAATGAAAAAAAAATGCATTCATAATTATAAGAACTTCTAGGAGATAAGAGGGCTACAAATATAGCTCACATTTCAAGCTCTCCTTGGACAGTTTAGGTCTTTTTGACAAAGTTTTTTATAGTTTAAAAAACACTATATTTCATATACATATAACTTTAGCCTAAATATACTTCTATTGTGTTTTTGTGATAAAAAGTAATACACCATAAAATAAATAAAAATAAATTGCATTGAGATTTAAATAAACTTGACATAAAACTAAATTATTCATACCTTCTTATCATGAAGCGTATGACAAAATCATGAAGACACAAGTAACATTTCAACACAACAAAAATAATTTATAATAATTTTGGGCAGTATTTCAATGCTTTGTTAATAGTTCAAATAAATTACGAATAGGGATTCGACATAGCAAAAATAATTAAAACATTGAGAAATTTACAGGCACGACGTGAGACAAAAATTTATTGGTAAAAAATTAGAGAATTGAGCGTATTGTAAAGAATTTTAAAAAATAACAAATAGTGTAAAAAATTAATGATGTGGATAAAACAATTTTCTTAAAAAATTGGGCAGCATTTTAGTAATTCAAGAATAATTTTAAGCAAAACTAGCATTATAATAGCCTAAAATCATTTCCACTTTGATCCAAATTATATTTATATATATATATATATATAATTAAGCTAATGTTATAATTACCAAAAAATGGTCTAATTAGGAGAGGAGCAGAAGAAGAAAGTCAAAGGAGGGAGTGAGAATCAAAGCAAAGGAGAAATCACCAACTAGGTGCAAATTGTGAGGAGGTATGTGGGGGAGCTTTTATAGGTGAAAGGGGGAAAAATTATTGTGTGGACAACGCACACAAAATTTGCGTGCGGTGTCCGATCTAGACTGTAAAAAATTTAGAGTGCGCCCCACTCTAAAAATAAAAAAATAAAAAAAAAATGTATTTCAATGGTACAGATCGGACACTGCATACAAATTTTCTGTGCTCTTTCACTTGATGTTACAAATTATGTTATCCTTTTATACTTTGGTCTTATTTTATTTGTTAAACTTTAATTTTTTAGTTAACTAAAAATTAATTGCAATTTGTTAATCAATGTAGAAATTGATTTTAATATCATTGTTAATGTGTAGAGTAAATAATAATAATATTTATAATAATATTTAATTGTCTAATAATATATATATAAAAGCGCCGCGCCCCCAACACTATCGCCTTTAACCTTTTCTAAATTTTTTTGAAATTCCATACTTCTTTTCATAATTTTCCCTAATATTAATAATAATAATAATAAATGTAATTTAAATAATAATAAGAAATAATAATATTAGACATAATAAAAGAACTAATAAAATATTAATAAGAATTCGAACTTAATAGTTTTTCACTTCTAGTTTTTCATTACTTATCTTTTTACCACTTGAAATTAGAGAAAATATATCCAAGTAAAATCAGCTTTATCAAAGTCGATTTAGAACCTGGCAGCTCAAAATCGATTTCTCAAAATCACTTTCAAATAATCACACACATAAACAACATAAGAAAACGCAAACTTTACCGTTATTTTAGCAGTGTCGGGATCAAGTCCAGATCCAGCTGATCCAAAACTGACACCAGTCATGAGCTCTTCTAACCCTAATGACCAGTCCAAGTAAGGAGGCAGCTCCTCTTTGATGCCTAAATAAGAAGCTGATTATAAAAAAGCCAAAAATCCATTAACTCACCACAGTAACAAACACTATTTTTTTTATAAAATAATCTGTATAAGCTGAAAGCTGAACTTACCCACAAAATCTGTAATGAGTTTTCCATTGGTGAACCTCCCAGTAGGAATATGAGTGAAGAAATCCCTTCCATATGGTGGAAAATTGCTCTTCATTGGAGTTGCAATGTAGTTATTGTTGCCGGCGTCGACCGTCGAGTCTCCGAAGGCAAAGATGGCGGAAACTGGGCTTTTCTGGCTGCCATTGATGACCTGAGATTTAGCTTTGGTGAAGGAGCAGAGGAGGAAGAAGAAGAGTGGTTTTTGGATCAGTTTGGAGAGCTTCAAAGCCATGGCTGTGTGCGGAAATAAGAATCTTTGGTTGTGGCAGCTATTAAAAGGCTTAAAATAATTTTAATATATTTGTCACGTGCAAGTTGTACAGAAAAAAAACAATATTTTATGTTCTAATTCTGTTTTTTTGTCGGCCTTTATCATGTGTTCTGTTCCTTTTTTTTTTTTTCTAGATTTTGTTTTCATGATTAATAGAAGATGTTTCAAAAGACCTTTGTGCTTGGATTTGTGCATCTGCTGAAGTTCAGTTTTCAGCATTTTCCCTGTTCTTTTTACTTGTTCTCAGTTTGTTGCATGCTCTATGGCGTTGGGCTTTAAAAGAGAAGCATAATATTAAGTTAAGTGTTGCGGAGATGAGAATGAGTTGTTGGATGAGTGGATTTAAGCTTAGAGGCAAAATGCAAAATGAATATATTTGGGATAGGGTTGGTGTAGCTCCAGTGATAGATAAAATTTGAGAGAGTCGTCTTAGATGGATTGGTCGCATTAAATGTCGACCATATGATGATCCTATTAGGAGAGTAGATGTTGTAGATGTTTTAGATTCTAAATGTTTTAGATTCTAATTATGTTAAGAAAGGTAGAGGTAGACCTAGGAAGACTTGGGCTTATTGTATAAAAAATGATCTTAATTTATTAGAATTAAATGAAAATATGACACTAAATAGGACGCAATGGAGAAAAAGGATTCAAGTAGCCGACCCCACGTAGAGGGAATACGACTTTGTTGTTGTTGTCTCTTCGTTTTTTCAACTTATTTTTCTAATTAACAATTATGCCAATATATTTGAATGAATGTTACATACTTTCTACTATTCATTACTGTATTCTCTCTACATTGCTCTCTTCTCTTTAATGCTCTATTCCTTGGTTGTGCCCCCAGATAATTTGAGGTTCAACATCCTAAAAGGTGTGGTGAACGTGGAGTCAAGCAGTCAATAAGATGAGGAGCGCAATAATAAGAGGACAATTCGAGAGACATAGTGAACGTAGAACGCATTGGGCAGTTTGTGGAAGAGTTCGTATAACTAGAATAGCATGAGTTGAGGACTCAGATAGCAAATCAGATGTCGAGACAGATGACAGAAGTCCCTAAAGCAGTCACAACTTTAGGAGTCATCGCGACTTTGGGAGATGAACACGCTCAGCGAGAAACATAGAAACCTCCTTGAGAAGAGGTGCCGACACATATAGTGAGAAGATTGAACCACGTTCTATAGAGAATCGAAGATTTAGGGTATCAGGATAGTGTCAGATCCGCCCCAATGGTGGAAATGCAATGATTTGGGTGTATTAAGGAGCCTCGACAACCGAAGAATTTGTTATCCCTCTTGATCTCGAGAGCTGAATCCCCGAAAAAATTTAAAATCCCGGCCTTAGAATCCCAATGAGCACCTTGTATCCTTCCAATGGTTAATCACAGTATCAGGATAGTGCAGGATTTGCCACAATGGTTGAAATACAACGATTTGGGTATATTGAGGTGCCTCGATAACCAAAGAATGTGTTATCACTCAAGATCTTTGGAGTTGAACCCTCGAAGAAATTTAAACTCCCGACATTAAAGCCATACAAGGGACAGTTAAATCCGAATGACCACCTCGAGTCCACCTATCATAGAATCAAGATAGTGTCGGATCTGCCCCAATGGTGGAAATGCAATGATTTTGGTGTACTAAGGCTTTGTGACAACAGAAGATTACTTTATTCCTCCAGATTTCGGGAGCTGAATCCCTGGAAAAATTTATACTCCCGACATTAGAATCCCACAAGGGACATCTAGATCCCAATGATCAGTTCGCATCCTTCCAATCATCAATGTGTCTGCTGAAGGTTTCTGATTCATTTAAATGTCGACTGTTCTTTACTACATTGAGATCATTGGGTTTAAGGTGGTTCAATGCATTATCAATCAAGATAATTGTATGTTTCTCAGACTTAAAGAAACTTTTCCTTGCACAGTTTACCAGTTCCCAAAATCTTAAGAAAAGCACCCAATACCTGTGACAGCTTAAGTAGAGGGCCAATGAGTCCGCGTTTATTTATTACATAATTTTAATGAGAAATGTTGGAGGTGAAAGAATTAAAACCCGACATGGTGAAAACTCAAAAACCTTAGGCTAGTATATTTGTCAAGTAATAATGTGAATTTAGAGTACCACATACCGACCATAGGAGGAAAGGGCTAAGAAATTATTTTAAAGAGTGAATCTCTAGTTTACTAAACATCTATACCTAGTTTAGCGTGATCAAAAGCAAGAGATTGAATTCATACACTCCTACTCACAAACAAAATAAAAGCATGACCTGCAAAATAAAGAAAAAAACAAGTGGAGAAATAAAACAACTCTTTAAGAGAGATGAGGTTCACGCCTCTTTGATTCAAGTATCATGGTGGTTTGTGGTTTTCCTAAATATTCCTTATGTAATTGTTATCAACATGGATAAAATGATCGTCTTAAGCCTATGCCTAGGTCATAAGAAGAATAAAAAACCATGAAGTTAAGTTTCGCTTAACCCCATGCTTCCCAGGATTCTTCTGATCTCCTTTCTAGGCTGCAAAATCCTAATAGGATATGATTATTTTACTAAGCAGAAGTTGTAGATGACAAAGGATGTTAACTACTTGTCTAGCCAGGTCAAAAGTAAATGAAAGATTAAGGTTTACATAATAACTTTCACATGAAAGCTCAAGAAAACATCATGAGAAAAATAATCAAAGAAAACCATAAAAACCATGAGACTTACATCAAATAGATGCACGAAAGAGAACTTAGCTCCACATGATAAAAAGAATGATGAAAAATAAGTCCATGAAAATCATTGTTGCATGCAAGACATGAAAGTAAATGCTTACCAAAAAAACTTGTACTCTCCACCAATATAGAAGCTCACCCTCTCATACAAACAATTTTCTCTCCTAACAGTAAGAAAAAAAAAAAGAGAAGATGAAGAAAAATAACCCTTAGGACTTCAACCTCAAAAAGGGAAGAAAGCCCTAAGAGAGAAGCTCTCTCTCACACCAAGTTCCTTAATGTTTGGCTCATGTCGCCCTTGATGATCCTAGCCCCCTTTCAAGTTGTCATAAATAAGTTTTTATAGCCCTAACCTTGGATTGGCAAGAAATTTTTTTCTTAAAATATTTCTTGCTTTGTAAGTGTGGTCATGCCCAAAATCGGCATGGTCACTCCATAGCTATTGATCAAGCGGCGTGGTCACGCCCAATCCCGACGTTGTCATGCCTAATCCTGATGTGGTTACGCCAGCATGTTGATTGGGAAGCGTGGTCATGCTTGATCTAAGTGTGGTCATGCTATTACAATTGATAAAGCAGTGTAGTCATCACAGTTTGGGTAGTCCCAAACTTGATTTTTTTTTGCTCTAAAATGCGTGCTCGATCTCCTATAACCTGCAAGTCACCAAAAAAACATTCACAAGCATAGAACCATGATAAATAAGAAATAATAGTAGGTAAAAAGTAGGGTTGTATGGAGTAAAAATTGTAAAGAATTGACTCATGTCACATGACACAAGCTGCCCTGACTCAAGGTCTGAAGTCTGAGAGGTTTCATTCTGATCTAGCTTGATGGAACCCAGAGTTTGGGCAAATTACTGGAGATGGTCTACAAATACATCAAGGCCTATGAGAACGTTCCCGAACCCGAGTAATCGACATAGACCCCATAAGAGTCCGTCGCAGAGTAATGGATGACAATCAAAAGAAAAGTCATACCCATTTGTCCGTTCATGATATGAAAATCTACAGTCCTGAAACAACAATGGAGCCAATCGTAACGGTAATCAGCGAGGTTAGGCGAGAAGTCATGACCATGTACCTACTTGATATCACAAATCGTCTGCCTAACACTATGAACAAACCAACATAATCATGAGGGCCGTCAGAATGCTCCTTTGAGAGTTTCCATGGCTGAAATAGCAGACCCCATTTAAGGTAAAGAGTATTTCAAGAAAGCCTCACCAATGAGAGCTGGAGCCTCCCTTTGCAATACCAGGAAATACTGTAAATACCACATAAATCTTGACCATGAAACCGAGGAATGTAGAAACTTCTAGAATTTGATCAAAGAATTGATCAAGGAAAGGCAGTCGAAGGAATTGTAACTTATGGAGCCGCAACCCAGAGGCGGTGGAAGGCCTCGATTGTGGTAGTGCCCGATGGGCCAGTACATACAAATGTCATCCATATAGTAATTGGTACCCACAATCTTTGGAGGAACTAAGTCATCCTAGTGAGCTAATAGTAAGAAACACCAAATACGACAACTCTGCACCATTACCTTTACCTCGAGGATAAAAACCCTTCCTCCCATTTTATTGACAAACACTTACTTGTCCTCAAAGGGGAACATGTACAATGACTCCATTGTCGTGACTCCCATGCTCAATAACTATCATGTAGAGAGCATCCTAATTGACACAAGGAGTTCTCTTAGTATTTCATTTAAATTTGTGTTTGACAAACCGAGTCTATCAAATGACAAAATGATTGTGCTTATATGGTTTTTTGAGTGAGCAAAAAGAGGCTCATAGAATAATTGGACTTGCAGTTAGCTGGGCAGAAGGTGAGAAAAAGTTCAGCTTCACCTATGATTTCTTTTACGTAGATTCCCCACTAACTTATAATGCCATCTTTAGTCGCCTACTTCTAAATAATTTCATGGTAGTAGTCTCTACTTGACATGTTGCAGTGAAATTTTTAGGAGATGGATAAATCATCACCATAAAAAAAAACTTAGAACAATCATCAGTAATGTGAAACATGACCCACTCGACATCCAAAACTTAAGAGGAGGGGGTCTTAAGACCAATGAGGCCACCCTAGAGATCCCACATTTGACAAAGAACTGAATAATTTTTTTCTAATCAGGGAAGCTTTTGATGAAAGACAGAGAGATTTTTAGATCCAGAGCATTCAGGAGAACTGAAACATTTTCACCTAGTTAGTGACATAAATGCTTGGCATACCAATCAATGCAACATAAAATTGATTGAACGTCAATCCATCCGTCTAACTAGTAAAGCAGAAGATCAAGAACTCATCTACAAT